GGAAAGACACAGTGTTATCGAGTGAGTGCAGTTAAGCAAAGTGTGGCGCTGATTCAATTTTAAGGGAGTCTTTGATTGGCAGGTACAACTGAGTGTATACCATATGCAGTTGAGTTTGTTACTGCGGCTGCGTTCACACCTGAACTTAGAGCTGTCCACTTATGATCGAATCACCTGAGACGGATGTTAATACCAGGTCTGAACAGGGCCAAATGAATGTAAACAACCACACTAATGTCTGCGAGATGCAAAACCGCTCTCTTTTCACAAAGTTGTTTCAAACTACATTAGTTTTATTCTTGGCTGTTTCATGGGTTTTGTGATAAGGACAGTTATAATTTTGAATTGTGGTATTGATATGCATCATGCTATGGTACAAATTCTAAAATGGCAAAAGAATTTTTTAGCTAATCAAGTAAATTAAATACCTGACAAATCAAAAAATTTTACCACAAAAACAATGCAGAAATCCAGTATTACCATTCCTTCTCATTCATTTGCAAAAGTGCCAACAATGGACTAATAAAATCAAAGATACAGTATAAAAGGCAAAGCGTCTGCAGTATATACAGCATGGAAAAACTCATTGACAGCAAACACAAATATCATCTCATTATACAATATATATATTTTTCACTTTTTATTTTCGTGGCTTTTTAAGGATAAACTTGATCCAATCTCTTGGATGTGTTGGATGTGCAAGAAGGAGCCATGACGACTTTTTCTTTTAAAGAGGCATTATATTGAACGTGACAGCTCCAAGTGTGATGAAATGTGCTGGTCTGCAGTTTGGTTTTGTTTGGGAAGCAAAGACTCATCACTGCAGGTTTGAAACAACTTCTGTGAACACAGATCATTATTTTGATGGACCAGCACAAAGCAACAATATCAAACCTGATCAAACTGAGTGAGAAAGAGACGTGGAAGAGACATAATCATATTACACTTTGCAGCCCATCATCTGCTCTGTTTTCCCCTCGCTAACAATCAAGTTACAGTGCAATTTATCTATGTGCGTTGTGTCATGTTTACTCAGATCCAGACCAGCTCAGACAAAATAGTGACTTGATGGAGCATCATATAATTGGACTGAATAGGAAAATGTGTCGTACCTGCATGGCAGGTTTTTCATTTGAGCGTTGCATGTTATGCAATGCCTTGCCAAGTCCTCATCACAATAACACAACTGAATCTGCCAGGGTAGGTTAGCCTGACAGCATGTCACAATAGCACCTGTGTCAGAGCCAATAGTTCTCAAGTCATCGTCACATTAGTTTGGACGGGGGAACGACACTGATCTGAACACATATCTGAAGAAGAATAAAAAGAGAACTGGAAATATCTGGAATGAATAAAGCACTAGAAATGTCTCTGTTATTATCATGACCACTTGAGGTTAACCAGTTTCTTTTTGAACCTTTAATTTATCCAGGGAAGAGTGACTCAGTGTGGGTATTTACTGCTTCACAGTCACAAAGTTCCCATCAAGGAAATAAGCACAGCCTTGCACTGTTGGTCAAGATACTGTAGATAGGATGAGGGTCAAGTGCCTTGCTCAAGGGCACCTAAAAAGAATGTGGTTAGTCTGCATTTCACTTTCACTTTTCCCACAGAACAAAAGACTTATTTGAAAAACTCATTATTTCACCACTGGACACAGGACAAACACAGATGTCCTGTGTGACCACAGTAAAGCTGCACCTGGTGTGTTCACCAATCCCAGCATTTTTCATACTTGATACCAACCACAGTGATGCATTACTGAAGCCACAGCTCATCCTCTCAATGTCACAGTGGTTAGATTTCAAAAAGAGCCTGGGAGGCGAACAGACACTGTTAGATGTTTCTGGCAGTGTCTCCCTCAGGTCTGTCACAGCTTGTGAAAAATGGTGCATTGAGGGTCTAGGAAAGGTGGGGTCTATGACCTCTGAATGAGTTTCCACTAGTTCCCCTGTCAGTTCATTTACATCATGTAGGAGAAATTAATATACAAACTATATTTAACAACAGCGAAGGGTTCTTAAGATTAAATGGGGGGGATTGTGGTCTATATGTTTGTTTATTTGGATTTATGGAAGTGATATAACAAAAATAATTAGTTGCATGATCAGTTTAAACTTAAAGTAAATATTTAACTTGAAACACAACCCATGGCCTCAAAGGTTAAAGAAAATGAAAATGAAATGAAAGAAGTTGTTTTTGTCTTACACTTGACTGTTGAAGCTGTCGAGTTCATCAGTCTCAGGGAAAAACACCTCTCCTCCTTCTGCTTTGTGCTTGGATTTCTTTCGTTTCAGCTTGAACGGCAAAAGCCGCCTTCCCTTCTTCTCTTTCGGGGAAATAGGTACAACACCGTCGGGCGATGTGGCGCTGTCTCCCGGGCTGAAGGGACCAGGGCTCGGCGGCACGGTCCCCGACTTGTCTCCATCTTTGAGGGACCCCGAGCGGTTCAGCTCCTTGTTCTCCTTGTCAGGGGATTTAAACTTAAACAGTTTCTTGACCTTCAGCGTGCTGGACTTACTCATGGTGTTTGAAAACTTTCGAGAAGAAACAGAAAACACCACCAGGAGAGGAGTCTTACTTGTAGCTGCTGGGACAAAAGGATTGAGCCTGCAGAGCGGGTCGGCGCAGGGACTTGGGCTTGCCTGCACGTATCGCGCGCTCCAACAGGTGAGAAAGGTGCAGCTGCGTAAAGCTAGGCAGAGAAAAATAACTATACTTCCGATTCGAACCTTCAAAATTAAATCTACGAAACGCCACTACGTGTTTCATTTTTACAAAATTATCCCATTATAAACACACATCCATAAGTGACCACACAGCTAGGCACCCCACCTCCAATCATAATTTGGATTTTATTTAGTCAGTTCTTTGTTCATTTATGTTATCTTTAAAAAAAAAAAAAGTATTTATTTATTTGTTTATTTATTTATTTATTGGACGAGTAGTCGTCCAAAGTAGTCATATTTAAATATATTGGGTCTAAAAAATAACGGCCTAAAATATACCTACCATGTGTAACTTTTTTATTGTGTAATATTGGGGGCTGCAACTAATAACTAAAAAGTCATCATTTAATTTGTCATGTTTATGCTTTCTATATATATATATTTTTAGTAACTGAGTTGTGAAATGTGAAATGGTGTAAAAAGACCGTTACAATTATCCAATGTCTACGCTGTAATTTTCAAATTGTTTGTTTTATTTCCAAAAAGCAAAGACACTCAGTTCACTCTAAAATATGAGGAAGCATCAAATGCTCATGTGTGAGAAGCTGGAACCGGAAAATGTTTTAACATTTTAACTTGAAAAATGACTGAAATCATTATTCAGTTTTTAAAACATTTGCTGATCAAGTTTCTGTCAAATGACTAATCAATTAATCAATTTATTCAGCTGTAGATAATGTCAGGCCCCCTCAGGTTGCTAAAATACAAAAAGGTCATGGCCTCTCTGTCCTCAAAGGCAGCGATGGCCCTGTCAGCCATCATAATATTCAATTTTCAATATGCAATCCAATTATTCAGTTAGAAGAATCCACCAAAGTTCATGACTCTTTTAACACATGACAACAACAATGCTATAATATGCAGTTAATCGTGTATCGGACTAAGAGGTGCTTCTTTTGAGGCAATAGAGTCAGAGCATAATGAAGTTAAAGACATACAGGTCTCCACTGTCACTATTAGCGGTGATGGAAACAGGTTAACACTAACTTTAACAACAATGTAACCACAGTGCTTGAGCATGCTACGCTAAAAAGCTTTTATTTTGAAAGCAAACATTTTTCTTTTAGATTGTTGCTTGATGCAGCTCCAGAAGATGGTTGCTTCCTGAGATAAAAGCTCAGCTGAGATGGTTTTACTCTTTACTATATCCCTGCAAATGATGATTTGAAAATATTGTATTAGACCTAACATTCTGTCTATAAACTTCAACTTTTTCCAACATGTCTCATTCTGAAAGTCCTCAAGTGTCTACTGACATAACAGCTCTATCTGCTGGCCATGTTGGGGAAAAGCACTGACAGTCTGGAATATTGGAATATTGAATAGGTTACATATTTACTTATTTTTCTGACTTCTGTGTCCTGACTTCTGATTTTCTGACTGACTTATTTTGTCAGTCAAACCACTTATAAACCTGTAAAGTGAATGTAAATGCAAAAAAAGGCAAAAAATAATTGACAAATAAGAAAGACAGATTGTACAGGCACATATAACTGAAAGAGTTTTCTTTAAATAACAACATTTAACTGGAATCACCACCTCTGGTTGTCTTCCTCCGCCACTCAGACCAGTTTCAGGTTACATCCCTGTTCATCCAGAGTCATAGAAAATATGACTCATTTGTGTGAAATTTATTTGAAATTTATTTGTGCCAAATTTGAAGGGATTCCCATGGGGAATTCTGGAGATATTGCATTCACAAGGCCAAAAATTATTTTTTTGAGGTCACGGTGACCTTGACCTTTGAACTTTAGCCACCAAAGTCTAATCCAACAACTAATCCAATAACCCTAACCCATTACCGAGATATCCTTTCCAAAAGAAAGGGATGGACGGACGGATGGACAACCTGAAAACACTATGCCTCCACGCTGGTGACAGCCAGACAAGCAAACAAAGAAGAGAAAAAAAAACGTAAGATGGCAATTAAAAACAAAACTGATTAGGATGAGGAAAACTAACACTCAGAAAACCCAACTAAGAAATGGGGGTGTGAGAGAATAAAGCAGTTTCTGTGTGTGGGATGTTGAATAGAGGTGTTGAGATTGGGAACAACAAATCAAGCAGATTTGCAGTAATTCAAAGAAAAAGAAAAAGCAGCCACTGAATAAATAAAATGGGGGTTCCTGCAAGCAGAGTTATACAAACTGTTATTTGTGAGTGGAACCATCAGATAAGAAAAATGTGAGCACAGAGGTGGCAGAAACAAATGAGATCAAAAGCAGGAAGCTCAGTGAAACACTGTACTCACACAGAGGTGGTTTTGCTTTGTTCTTCTTTTGATATTTTTTGGAGCACACAGTATTATTCACTTACAGCCCCTACACTTAACTCTATCTACATATGCAGCTGGGAGAGCGGAGAAGCTCCGGTACCTGAGAGTAATATTACTTTCTTTTGACTCAGCAACATCAGCTCCAGAAGGTAAAGAAATTATTTGAGTGAAAGTCATCATTCTCTAAGGTATGTGCTGTATGTTCTGAAAAACCAAACAAACAGACAAAAGAAAAAAAAACGAATAAGCATGAAACTTTCCTGTCTGTGCTGGTTTTTTTTCAGTTTGGTATTTGGTAGTAAGTATCTAAATGTGGTAATTAAATCATAATATTTCTTTGACATAGTGGATGTGATGAATTTTAAAGATTGAAATGTACTAATCAGTTTTGTAATTTTAAAAATGACTGATCAGTTTTAAAAGTTTAAAAAAAAAGAAAAGAACGTTTTACAGATAAAATGACATAGAACAGTTTTACAGAACCGCCACCTGTGTAAAATATGGAAACATTATTTACAGAGCACAAGCTCTCAAATTGTGTTTCTACGGAAAAGTCTCGCCCCTTTCCTTTATTATCTTCCCAGACAGACTTACCATAGTATATTATATGTATAATGTGACTATATTGATTTGTGGGAAGTGAAAGTGTTGAAAGAAGAAATACCATCTCTTTATCACTGTCCATCAGCTTTTCGAAGAAGTTTCTCACATGCTATTATTTGCTTGAATTAGATATCACGTCAGATATTTATTACTGCGCTCTCAGTGACGGTCAGTGTCATTTTTTTATGTAACAATTAAAACAAGAAAAATCAAAAGAGGAGGCGGATGTCGTAATGTCACACAGAGAAACTCATTTATTAATGTCTCATGTATTTTTATACTGTCAGTAAGTCTGTTGAGTGTTTCATTACCTTGTTAAATGTCAGTGACCTCCTTGCAGCCCTGCAGATTCTCAGTGACACATATCAGATCTTCCCTGATAAGATCTGATCAGCTCTTGAGATCATCACGGCTCAGAGTGCAGCCATCTAGACGTGTGATCACTTAATGACTAAATGGGGCTGAAATGGGGTCATTCACTAACAGAGGAAGAGAGGAACTAGAACACCGGCTTTTATTCTGCAAACAGAACAAAAAGCTGATTACCCAGTCCACGCAGGGTGCAGGCTTTGCACTAAACTAACCAAAATTATCCGCAAGATTTTTTTTTTTTTCTTTATTAGGCGAATAAAATGTACCCACCGGGTTACTGTTTCATCAGAAAGGGGTTCGTAATGGATAACAAGCGAGGACAATTCATAAACCCTCTATCAGTTTATAAGTATTCAGATCTTTTACTTAATTGAAATAGTACAGTCTAAACTTGCTTTATTACAGGTAAAAGTCTTATTCAAAATGTAACTAAATATGTTTTCTACCTAAAAGTACTGATTTTGAGTTGACCTAATTGTATTTTATTTTAAATCAAATTTAACCATGGCACACTGAGATGACTTCCCTATTGAGAGCCAACCACACATTTCACCTGTGGCTCCTTCAGGTTCACTTCTGTTTTAGTCGCTGAAGTGAAGTCATCTCACTGTGCCGTGGTTAAGTTTGATTTTCACTTTAGTTGTCCAGCACCTGACCTCTTATTTTGGCTCTGCATGGGGAGTTTTGTTCTCCAGTTTATTCTACTTCATACTTCTGCTACACTACATTTTCAAGGCAAATATTTTACTTTTCAATGTGTCTGGCTGCTTAAGTTACTTTGCAGATTCACATTATCAATACAAAATATAATCAATTAACAAAATGATGAATGCACATTAGTGGATCTATAGTTGTAATCCATTGATATATCTGATTCTGAAGTGGACCACTATTTTGAAACCAGAGGTGTAGTAAAAGTAAAGTAAATACACAGAAGTATTATTAGCAAAAATGAAATGTAATTTATACTAATTTATTCTATGATGCAGAAAAACTCCTTTCAGAAGTTTACATTTATAGTAATATTGGATATTATTACTTGATTTGTAAATGTGTAACTAATTGTGAGTATGTTACAGTACAGTGTTAGGTAGTTCGATGGTAAATATTATAATACATAAAAATAAATCATATTAATTTGTAAAATAAGTAGTGGCTATGGCAGTAAAATAATGATTTCCTCTGTGTTTATACCCATCTTTTCTTCTCCAGATTAAAAACATGGAGAACGTGACTTCAGACTATGATTACATCATGTTAGATTACCCAGATGAAGGACTCTGCAATTTCGACCCCAACCCCACGGAGATCGTCGTCCAGACTTACGTTCACTCCATCATCTGTGCCTTCGGCCTGATTGGCAACGCTCTCGTAATCGTGACCTACATATTCTACAAGAGAACCAAGACGATGACGGACGTCTACCTCTTCCACGTGGCTGTGGCAGACCTGATCTTTGTGGTGGCCTTGCCGTTCATCATATACAATGAGCAGCATAATTGGTTAATGGGTCCCGTGGCTTGCAAGATCCTGAGGTCAGCCTACAGTATCAACCTCTACAGTGGCATGCTCCTGCTGGCGTGCATTAGCGGTGATCGTTACATTGCTATAGTTCAGGCGAGAAGATCCTTCGGTGCTCGCTCGCGCGCTCTGATCTACAGCCGCCTCATCTGCTCTGCTGTTTGGGTGTTTGCAGTGGCTTTAACTCTGCCCACGCTCATCTACACTGAGCGCTTTGAAGAGCAGAGTCTGGGGGCTGACACTGTCACCATGATGTGTCAGCTGTCTTTCAACAAGAATGAAACAGCAAAGCTGATGAAGGTGCTGGTTCCCAGCCTTCAAATGGCCATTGGCTTTCTGCTGCCTCTGTTGGTGATGGTGTTCAGCTATTCCAGCATCATGTGCACCTTGCTGACAGCACAGAGCAGCCAGAGGCACAAGGCTGTGCGTGTGGTTTTGGCAGTTGTTGTGGTTTTCATCGTGTGCCACCTTCCCTACAATGTGGCTCTGCTGATACACACCCTGTCGCTCTTTAAGGAGAGGAAATGTGAGGCAGAGAAGATTAAACTCCAAGTTCTGGCCATTTCCAGGGGCGTAGCCTACCTCCACTGCTGTCTAAACCCCATCCTCTATGCCTTCATCGGGGTGAAGTTCAGGAGCCACTTCCGGCAAATAATGTTGGACTTATGGTGCTTTAGCAGAAAGTACATCTACTCTGCTCGCTCCTCACGTGGAACTTCAGATTTTTGCATCTCAGGCTTGAAGCCTTCAGATGGCTCCAACAACATGTCATCATTCAGTGCATGATGCTGCAGCCTTTTAAAGGAGATAATTAGCGATGCTAATGCTTCAGGAGCTCCCATCTTCCCAAGCTGTTACTTTGCTGTAGCTGTATGTACTGTAAGTAGAGATAAAAACATCTGTACAAAATGTGCTTAGATAAAAGAAGATGTTTTGTATTTGAAATTTACTGCATCATGAGAAAACATTATTTCAATATACAGTACAATATTGTAGGACATAGGCACAGATTAAACAGTCAGTCACTTTCTAGCTAAATGTATTTTGTTTGATGTAAAACATCAACACATATGATTAAAAGAAAAAAGAAGTATTGCGCTTCAGTAAAGCTGAGGTGATGCCACAGAAGAAAAAAAAAGGAAATATGGTCACAGTCTCTCCTTCCTAAGTTGAAGCGTTGAATAATGAACAGAAGTGTTTTTGCGGAACATTATGATGTCACAGTGAAGTAGACCTTTGAAATATTTGGATATAAAATGTCATCACTTAATTTTATCCTTATAGACATTTCAGGTAAATTTTTTCATAATTAGTCAAAATCAAAGCAACAGAGGCAAAGACCTACATTTCACATAATGCAACCAAAATGCACTGTCTACCAAACACCCATGGCTTTCAAAAGCTTCCAGTTTGTAACACAGGCTTTCTGTTAACAATTTATTAACCAAGCCCAAAATGATTTCGATTTCGATATATTCAGATTAAAGTGACATTTATGTGTGCGATCAGGAATTCCCCATATAATATGCAGAAAAACAAAACAATTACTTGAAAAGCTGCTCAGTTACTGTGACTGTAACATGATCACATGCGCCTGTACAGCAGGAAGCGCACAGGTGTAACTAATGACATTAACGATGGCTCCATTTTATTCAAGAGTCCCAGTAAAACATATCAGTGAGGCACCATGCACAATACCATGGGTTCTGTAACTGAACCACCTGGTAAAGAGCCATTATTTATGTTACTGGTAACACCTGTGTTTTCATCCTATGACAAGTCCAAATAGGGAAAAAACTAAATATCATGGAACTTAGGTCATTAACCATGGAAAAAGTGTCGCAGTGTATTATGACTCAAAATAACACCCACACATAAAAAACACCCACCCCACTATCAGATAGCAATATTGTTTCTCTTCAGAAATTACAATTCTCCAAGTAAATTTGAAGTCCTGTATTTTGTTTGTTTGTTTGTTTGTTTTAAATTCAGCTAACAGTTTTTTCCCCCCTTTGTTGAGCAGGTTATAGATTCAAGCAAATCCCAATGTTAAGGTCCATGTGTCTGCTAATGGCATTATTCTCTATGTAATTCAGAAATCAGTGATTGATCTTTATATTATTGATCCAATTAAATCTATTCTTGAATTTTGAACAAGTTTCCTCACACAAATATCCAACCACAGGTATTGATGATGCATTATCCTTAATCAAAGCTGGTTTTGTTGCTTTTATTTATATCTTTAACAATATAACCCGAGTGACTGATGTATGATTGTGACACATTTGGTTATTTCTCTCTTATTCTCATGTTACCATAATGATAGCATCCTGTTTTCTTCTGTTTTTATGTATATGATGTTGACTGAGTCTGCTTGTTTTTTAAGTGCTGTATAAGAGGCTAAAGTCCTCACATTTTTGATCTTACTATACTGTCACTTTAATTTCTACAAATTCTCTAGAACCATATATCCCATTGTGTTATGCTTTTATAAAGTTTTGCCATTTTGTATTTTATAAATCTAATTGTATACTTTTACTGTATCTACTCAATAAACAGTATGTCTGAAGTTTATTTTCTTGAACCAAATTAATCAGCAAATTAATTGAGTCAGAAAGTTTCTGGGAATCAGATGTGAGGAAAATTGAGTATGAAAAAGCAATGCAGATAGCACTTAAACATACAGTACTGCTATAATCGCTCAATCACTACATAAATAATGATGTAAATTAGATTCTGTACCATTAAACAGTACATGAAACATTCACATTTAGCCAACATATAATGTGAAATTTGAACTAGATGGTAAAGTAACTAACATCTAATTACCTTTTTAGTCACTAAATAATTACTGTATATGTTACTAAATGTTAAGTCATTACTTTCTGTGCTCAAAATAACTGCGAACGAAAAAGGGGAAGTGTGCAGCACAATCTGCAGTTATAGGCCGTGGCCCAATGTGTTCAGATGATAAGAGTCTTCCTAAGACAAGGACACAGATAAAACCAACAAATTTATGCGTGGTTCCTCTTGTGGTACATGGGGTTGAGAGAAAAGATAGCAGCTAGGTAAAATCAATGGAAAAAAATGTCAAATTTTGGAAAGGTAGTTGGTGTCTGGAAGGCCTGAAATGCAGGTTGAAATGAAGTGCTCACTGTTTAGCTTGATGATTGAGTTTTTAGCCCCACAGCAGATGTGGATGGTTTTGTGTTTGATGGTTGGTTCACCACTTTGGTCCAGACTAAAAAAATCACTATGGATGTATGGTCATGGAATTTGGCACAGATATCCCTGGTGTCCAGATGATGAACTGTAATTTTGGTGATCCTGAATTTTCATTTGGTGCCAAAATCAGGTCATCATTTTAATTTTCCCCATTATGAAAGACTAATGCAAATGTAAAGGCATTCCTATCAGCTTTGTGTGCTAATTAGCAGATGTTAGCATGCTAACATGCTAAACGAAGATGCTGAAAACTGAATACTGTACCTGCTAAATATCAGCATGTTAACATTGTCATTGAGAACATGTTAGCATGCTGATGTTAACATTCAGCCCAAAGCTTCACTGTGCCTAAATGCAGCCCCACTTAGCTGCTAGCATGACCCTAGACTTTAGTTTCCAGATGACTGATCTGTATTCATTTTCAGCACACATTAGCTAGGCCACAGTTGCTTTGTTGGATGATACTCTCCAGAGAGATGTTCTAACTAAGCGTGAAGTTTGTTAAACTTGATAATGGAAAGTCAATTATCATGTAATTAAAATGTACTTCTTGGTTATCTGTAAACACCCCTAGTCCTCTCTTAGAAACACTGCTGAAAAATGCAAAGATGCCCGATACATACATGATGTGTCCTACAACATTTAAAGAATACTCACATAGAAAATAACAAATCAGCCTTAACATAAGTCTGTAAAGGTGTTCTTTGTGTGGCATTGTACAGATTTGAAAGATTTCGAAACTGATGCTCCTGTACCCATAAACTGCTAGATTTATATTAGGGTCATTTCCTGTAGTGGATTTATGTCATTTCTGACAAATACCACCATAAATCACCAGGGTCAACGTGTAGAAGCAGTAAGCAGAAGCGGCATCTTCTGAAGCACTGGCTACTGACAGAAACAACAAGTACTCCAACCCGAACAACCACAGCCAAACAAGGTAACATCAACAATAGCATGAAACACCTGCACCATAGCAATAGTCTTTTCTGGAGAGTTATCTTCAACAATCAACTCACTTCTTCCTCATTTCGGGTGACTGTCAGGAAAGAGTAAAGACCACAAGCCAGCTTGTTGTGTCCTTTCTGTGATAGCGTACAAATGTATTTCAAGACGACTTAATATGTACAAACCAAATTCACCTTCTTTATCTCACAAACCAGTGATTACTGTAATAATTGAATCAAGTTGGGGTCTTGTGCTGCAAGCTGCCAGCTGTCTGACACCTTGTGAAGTTTGTGATTGAACATGTTTTTTTAATGATCCACCAAACTATTTGGCCTATATAGAAACATAGATGGAGGGCAATGCAAAAACACAATGTTGACACCTTTGTTTTTTTTTTTTTTTATTCAACTAAGACAAATATACAAAAGTAATATGCAAAAATGTGATTGGTGATTGGACCTGGGTGAGGTGAATACAGCTGTTTTATGTGTTATCTCTTTAAATAAAACAGAGCACAGTGTTGTGAAACCAAGATACTGTTACACAATCCACACAAGTTTGCACAGCTATCCTTGTTAAGGCATTGCATTTACTTCCATTCATGATGAACAGCCTAACCCCACATTCTAGATGCATCATAATTTTGGTCTTGGTTAAAGTTCCTTGCGCATGTCCTCAGAGTTCATTGCTGACTATGAAGTAGCACACATGAAAATCTCCATTTTGTTATCTTTGGCGACACTTATGGCCACACATGGATATTGCAGGTTTGTTTTTGAACTGGGTGATGGAACATACGCCACTAACTTTGTGTTAGTGACGTATGTTCCTTGTGATTTTGCAGGTGAGTCATACCAGACCCCGAGTTCATGAAACTGTCAAATGCAAGGACTTCTATATAATTTCATCACTGAGTTATAGGCTCAATCACTACTGTGTTACCTCATTCAGCCATAGATAGTGACTTATTTAAATGAAGAGATTGCCACTTTAAGCCAGCTGCTCACACAAGGTAACTGTATGGAATTCCAGAACTGGCATTGAGCAATCATACAATCAAATGATATTTCACTTGATATATTTCAGACACATTCAAATGCCAGATGTGAACTGCAGTTAAACTCAGATGGATCCCGGCACTCTCTGGATACATCTGGACGCAAGATAGCAGGTCTGAACAGGGCCTCAGATAGAACTCTTTCCACTGTGTTTATCTTAACTACACACCTGTAAAGTTTCATGACTGTATCTTGCATGATTTGAAAACCGTCTCTGAGTAGTTCCCACTACAGCTGTCTTCAGGACATTTAATCATGACAACCCACTCACACACGGACACACATACACAGACACAAGTTGAACACCACAGCAGCCGTGTGATTGTGGATGGTAAATATACAAAGAGAATGTCATGCCAACACCTGCACTTCCTCATGGTGTTGTCATGAGCTCCTTTTTCAGGTCTGCTATTATAACTTTTTCCCACTAGGTGTCATCAGAGAGTTTACTCTCACTACCCACCACCTGACCTCTTTTATGAGCCATAACTTGCCTCTTCAGCTGTTCCTTATTTGCTCATTGGCAGGGATAATATAGACAAGCATAAGAAGTCAGAATCAACCAATATATGGTCTCTGTGTGCATGCGTGTCTCTCACAGAGCTGCATAACTCAGAAACACAGGTGTCTTAACATGGTGCAATTTTGCACAATGCATCGATTAAAATGCCAGAATACATAGTGAAATACTGTAGGAACACAGGTGTAAGTAATAATATCAATGGTGGCTCTCTTCCATTTAGGTATCCAAGTAAATCATGCCAGTAGTAGGCCAGCATGCACAGTACCCTGGTACCCTGGTACACATAAATTCAATGCAACGATGTCTAATGTTGCTACGTAAAATTATGTTTCACAAGCAAAATGTTGCTATGAATGCTATAAAGGTCTTTCAAAAAACGGAGCAACACAGAAAAAATGATTTACTTGATTAGGCAAATGGTTTTTCTAGCAAGTTTAATTCTGCTGTTTATTACTTTAGATGGACTTCCTGTAGTTCCTGAGTTTCCACCTGACCAAGTCACCTGCTTACCCAGCTGCTCCTCATCAGCAATCAGTGACTACTGTAGACCAATTAAACAGCACCCTACTCTGCCTGCTCTCTAAGTACTGGTGTGTGCGTCTTGGTAAACTCTCCTGTTGCCAGGTACCTCAGCTGTTACCATATACAAACACTGCAATAAAATTGCCAGTCACAGATAACATTTTGGACACTGTGGTCAGATTTACAAAGATTACTGAACATAGCAAAAACAAAACAACTGTAATAAAAACAAAAAAAACTAAAAACTAAATACACACACACTAAGCCTTGCCTTACATCGTGTATGCTGGTTCACTGGAATGTTTTGCTGGGCCACTTAATGGAACTATTGTTAACATCATTAATTACACCTATGTTTTCCCTTTCGTGTCAACTTAAAATGGCATTAAAAGTTCTATAATGATCAGAGGCTCTAATAGTTGTGTAATAATTAAAGGTGCCCTATGAGTTTTCCTGTGAACAAACAAAAGTTATGTTTACATTCAGTGTTCTCCACCAAAACTCATTGTGTGCATCTTTGTGTTGAATTTTCTTCCTCATAAAACATTTGCAAAGCTGATTTTTTAAAAACGTTTTCAAACCTGCATTGCTCTCATGTTTCCATGGAATAGAATGAAACCATTGTGAGGAATATGTTTGTGTCACTTGCATGCTCGGGTGATTCCCGCACTTGCGAAATTACAGAAATTATATCTGAAGACAAACAGATGGGTTGTCTGATATATTTTCTGAACTCTATATTTTGAAAGGTGATTAAAGTGTCTGCTTTCGGGTCTGTAGTACAAATGCAATTTAAAGCTGCATCAATTTTTTTTTTTTTTTTTAGGTTTTTTTTTTTGTCTGTTTTTGCATTTTGGCAGAACAAGGTGTCAGCACAACTGACATGTTGTCATGGTGAACATTAGCATTCGTTTGGAGTCATGTTTAAATCCACCTGACAACTTTAAGTCCAATATCCACTCTCTTTTTAGCTGTTTTTAGTCTCTACACATCCCTGAGAAAAAATGTGTCAGTGTCTTTAGCTGCTAAATGCCCCCACTTGTTTACCAGGTAGTTGCTAACTTTAGCTGGCTGCTGGTTGGTGCCGGGCAGGAAGTATACATCGGGTGTTAACAGCTTTTTCATTGAAGCTGCCTGCTGAGGTTGGAAACAATGTTGATAAGAGCAGTAAGATAGAACCAAACTACAAGGAAGCTATGGGTCGTTAAACCGAAAGCATTAGCT